CCTGCCCTTGTCAGGACAACGTGGGCTGGACACGGAGGAAGACGTCCTTCTCCAATGAGACGGGCTCGGTGAGAAACGCTCTAGAAGAAAGCCCTGTCCTGCTCTGCTGCTCAGGTGGTAGGACTCTAACACAGCCTCCCCCAGTACAAACCGCAGTCCACCACACTGCCTGCTCAGATGAGCAGGGCTGCCCTGCCCCATCCTGTGCCCTCTAAGGAAAGCGGAATTAGAAGTGTGATTTCTTGTACATTGTTTTTCAATTATCTGAACCTGTGTGTGATTATAAAGGATTAAATACTCCTTTAATTACCCTAACCCTAAAGGAATGCCTTTTTCACTGGAGTGCAGCCACACCTGGGAGACACACAGCAGCCATTCTGCACCAGTACCCCCATCTGGGAGACGCACAGCGGCCATTCTGCACCAGTATCCCCACCTGGGAGACGCACAACGGCCATTCTGCACCAGTATCCCCGTCTGGGAGACGCACAGGGGCCATTCAGCACCAGCAGCCCCACCTGGGAGACACACAGGGGCCATTCTGCACCAGTATCCCCATCTGGGAGACACACAGCGGCCATTCTGCACCAGTATCCCCGTCTGGGAGACGCACAGGGGCCATTCAGCACCAGTATCCCCGTCTGGGAGACGCACAGGGGCCATTCAGCACCAGCAGCCCCACCTGGGAGACACACAGCAGCTCAGGGGGATAATTTAGACAGATTAAAGAACTTTCTTCACCGACAGGATTAAGGGTGAGCTTTCCACACCCTGAAATGAGTGCAGCCAGCTCACCGGGGTTAACTCCTCTACTTTATGAGTTCTGCCATGGGATCTTCAATGACCATGTTACCAGGACCCCAGTTAAACATCTCTGATGGACGGCTCCTTCAGCAGCATCTCCAGTCACCACTGTACAGCATTAGATTCAAAAGAACCTAGGCCCAGTAAGAGGAGCGCCCCCTGCTGGTACACCACAGTACTTGCACCAGCCACTTGGTTGTCACTGGAAGTTTCCTATCCCAGTGCTGACGGGCCCAGGCCTTGTTCAACTTCCAAGAGCCAACAAGATCAGCCTACAACCACAAGACTGGGCAACCCAATTTGACATCGCGCCCGTGTTTAGAAAGTAGCCAAGTCAGCCTCTGCAATTCATGGCGAAACCGGCTATTAGATGTGCCATCCCTACATAACTCCCCGCGCTATGAAACAAAAGGGACCACCCCTGTTAAGTGTTACTTAAACTCAGCAATCTCCCCTAGCCCCATTAACAAGAGCTTCCTAATTCGCCTCTGCTCTCAGCACGAAGTTATTAAATCGCAAGGGCTGTGTCGCGGATCACCGTAATATGTAGAGTTAATGGGCTGCAGGGGAAAAGACATCGATGGCAGCCCCCCCTCCCCCCTCCCACAGTGAGCTTATGAGAGGCTAATAAAGCGCAGCGCGGATGAGACACCGCGCCATCTCCGCGACTCGGCGCTTTATCCCCTGCCCTGCTCTGCTCTCAGGGTTTAGGGGTGTGGAGGGGTGCTGGCGTGAACTCTGGGGCTCCCACTTGTGTGCAGCTCAGTCCAGAACACACTCTCTGGTCGTCCCACATTTTATAATAATAAAAATAACAATAACAACAGCTATGACTATAATATTGCGCCTCTAAAAGTAGCTGCTCAAAGCGCTTTATAGCAAGAAAAATCTAAAGATATGAGATGAAATTAAAACAATTAAAACTAAAGGTGTACAATGCTGTAGAACGCAAGGAGCTGACACAGACAGCCTAAACTCACTTTCGTTTCATTTTAAAATTCAGCCCAAAATAAGATTAACATTTAAGTCTTTAAAAAAAAAATAAAGTTAGAGGCTAGAATATGAATCGGAATTACTAATAATTAAAAGGTGCTCACAGTTCTCCCCATTCATAAGCAATCACTGCGACGATGCTCCAGAGATCTGTGTGTATGTACCTCAAGCAGGGATCATGAGCCAAGCAGGAGACACAGGGACACAAACCGAATACTTACCTCCTGGTGCAAGAGACAACCATTATACAGACATACGCTGAAAACAGAAGTGTGTTAGTGCTCCTTTGTCTGATAACCCTCCCAGGCCAGCTTTCCAGTTACAAACTGGACTTCTCGGTATTGCTCGAGAATGGAGTTTAGGTATTTGAGATGCCTGCCGGACGCAGGGTGCACAACGCACAGCAGAACCACTGTAAACGGAGAATAGCACTTAATTGCGCTTATCTCGGAAAACTCGCTGGCAAAGTAGAAAAGGACCCGTTGACCGCCGCGGAAAGGTAGCCCTGCGAAGCGGCGGCTGATGTAGCAATCTTGACATTTTACTTCAAGTTCCTCTAGGAACCGGACAGCAGTGACGGAACACTGGCCCCCTCTGGTGGCCACCGACAGTACTTTTAATGGAGACGGAGGAAGCGCCCTTCAAGCAGTGCGGCAGAAACTCGCATCAGTGAGGGTGACAGGGCTGGACATACTGTAGTGCATTTCTATGCCAGGCTGATAAAGCTGGACAGCTGAAAATGAGAGTATTCATTGAGGTGCGGGGTAGTTGCTACAGCGGTAAGACTGGTCTATAGTGTTTGTTACAAAGTTTGATTGCTCAAGAGACAAGCGTGGTGTTTTATGTTCTACAGTGCTCCCTACCAAGGGATGTAGCTAGAGAGCACATCACCAAACAACAATGCTAGGCGTTCTCTCGTGAGTCACTAGCATTAAGAACTGTGTTATGCAGTGTTCACCCCACGGTAATATTGGCTGGAAATCTGAGAAATTCAGTGCAGATGGTACCAAGTAAGAGACGCAGTAGAACTGAAGAAGGGCACTGCAAATGACCGTTTGTAGGAGACTCAGAAGGCAGCATCGACATTCTCTCTCGGAGGCCAGAGGACAGAGGGCAATGATGATGTACAGAGTGAGCATGTGGTGGCAGGAGCAAAACATCACTGCCACCAGAGCCACACTGGCTACACAAACATCACACTGCTTACAAAACGCCTTTATGCAGCTGCTTGGTTTTCAGAACACAAAACTTGCCTTTCTTTACGTTCCCCCCTCTCCTTATAAGATCCTATCACAATCTAACCAGCAGGCTCAGTGATGACAGTCGTTTCATAATTTAATAAAGACGTGGACAAAAAAAACAACAACTTGTCCCTAATGGTCTTTCATCTCAAGAGTGTTAAAAAATGTAAATTTATGTAAAACCCATTGGAAATGTATATTTACAATACATTGGGGTAATCACAAGATGCAGGCATAGCAAACTAGCCCTGCTGATGGAACCAGTCAATACAGAAATAGTTTTATGTATCATTAATTCCCCTAACATTCCCAAATATTCCTTCTATTACTACAGATAATACAGTAATCACTCACAATCACACAGAAAATTATCTGCACTCATCTGTGGAATAAAGGCAAAAAAAACAACAGAAACTATCACATTTTAGCATCTTCAGTGTCCTTAATGTTCATATCACAGGCTCGCCACAAACAACAGATCTTTCTCTTTTCGATTCTGGTGTCAATGGAGTGCCGTTATCTTGCAGCTTAATGACAGCAGGGAGCAGATGCACCGAGAGAACATCTCCGCTAATGTTCATGTGCCTATTTGAGCTACATCGCCCGAGACAGACGGGTTATTTTTTTTTGATCAGCTACAGAAGGGACTAAAGGTGAAAGGTTTGCTTCAACCTGTGTAAACACTTTTAAAAGGCTTGCAGAAGCATTTTTTGAGATCTTGATCTTTTCTGACTTCTTAAGACACTTCTGAAAGGACACAGACTAAATATCTGCATAAAGCTAAGCAAACTTTGGTCTTCAGTGACCCGATTCACCCACGCAAGGCAGATACATGTGTCTGATGTGCATCTAATAAGTTAACAAGGTGTTCTCTACAAGGAACAGACTGTGTATTATTGAAGGAAACCAGGAGCTTTAATTTATACAGCAAAGTGACAAACAGACCCCAGTTGTTGTTCTTTACTAGCCCAAAGAGAGAAAACGAATGTGCACCCACAAATTGAGGTTCTGTCCTGTAAAGATAGCAAAATCAATTGGTCGCACACTTGTTTCACTCCAAACTAGATTTAAAGGATTATAAATAAAATGTTAAGCATTGATAACATTAGTTTATCAATGACATGAATCCATGAAAATACACAAATTAGAAATAACCTATGTGCTTACTTGATTTTTTTTGTTCACAGGCCTTAAGTTAATTTAGCTCTTTATATTTATGGTCAGATGGGTTTAATTTATTCCATGACTCCTTCTTTTAAAATAAAAGCCTCCTCTTATGTGGAAAGCCAACAATTAAGTAATACTGATTTACAAAAGATCCTTATCAACACAAAAAGATGTTTATCCCGATAAAGGCTATTGTGAAACACTAACCTGGGCTAAAAAACACAGTACTTCCAGAGCAGAGAAAGTGTGCTCCCACATTGTCTATATATTCTTCATTGTCATTCTTCCGTCCAGCGCTCAACTGAAGGCAAAACATTGCAAAGAGTTTTTATCAATCTGTTAATCAGTTTCTTGGACCCCGAACAAGAAACATTACCCTTAAAGTAAGGACAGTGTTTTTGGTTTAAATTTAACCCATAAACAGGGCTTCTACTGTATAAACGTCCAGAGATATTACGAAATGTTTCAGGGGACATCACACCAGGCAGAAACGGACTCTTTTTCCAGTGGCGTGAAAGTGTTTATCATCTTATGCTTAGCAAACTGCCAGGTTCAGAAAGATAAGATCGACAATCAGACTAATCTTGTCATGTGTTTTTTATTGAAAGAATCAAAATTCCTAGAATTACACCTGGTTCCCCTTTCCACGCGCCTGCTCATCTGCGGACACAAGCTGACCTCTGAAGACCACTGGCCGAGGCCGCAGGCAAGAGCTTTCCAGGGCTGGTCTGCCGCGTCCCACGCTGGCACTCATCACACCCACAGGTCACCCACAGGTCACCCACAGGTCACCCACAGGTCACCCACAGGTCACCCACAAAGCCCAGCAGCCAGAAGAACAGGCTCCTTCCCAGAGCAGTCTGTGGGGCTGCGCAGGTGAACAGGCCAGGACTGCGGCCGAACGGATCGGTCAGATTAGGACTTTGCTGGCAAATCTAAACTACAGTGCTAAAACCACAGACTGCAGCAAGGCACAAACTGTCAAATTAACCATAATGAACAAAAAACATGACTGGTTTTTGGATAAAACAGCTCATGCATGTATCGGCTTTTTCCCCACTGATTATATCCATAACCCAAAAAGTACAGAGCAGGTTAGGAAAATAAAAACAAACAAACATATCAGCAGATTAAATGTAAAAGGTTAAAGTGCCAGTAAAATGGTTTATTCTTAAATTCCCATTGAACTAAAATGCGAGTGAACTACTGTACATCTCTAAAATATCAGGGCCACTTGAACGGCAGATTATTTTCATTCATTCATTCTGCACAGGTCTCCTCCAGCCAATATTAAAAACAGTTGTCACTGTTGAAAAGTTCCTTCCAAATTCAGGGGAAAAGTAAGGAGGCAGATTTGCAGGCATTTTGGTAATAAAAAAATAAAAAATATCAAACTAAAAAAACATTTATTTATAATCCCTTACGCACAAAAAAAAAAACTCTCTAGTTTGCATTTATTTTTTGCTTCATTACAGTGCTGCATCAGCTTAAAAGTTTTCCCTAATTCAGCGATACATCCTAAACCCAACCCATGCCACAGGGTTTGCCCTAGAAAGAATCACACCCTTCCACTTTATTTGTGTCTAAATGGAAACTGTAATCGTACTACAAAAACAACCAGATTATAGTCGTTCCAGAAGATTTCATCACACACTCTGTACCGGTAGCCTTTTAACTCACGAGCTCGCAAAAGGCCAACGTGTAACAGCATGATGGAGCTACTTCCCCTGTTTGTTCCTCACAAGCGTCTCCACCTCTTTCATGAAGCGCAGGCACAGCTCGTCTTGCCAAGGGAGGGCCACACACTGCACGCCGACAGGGAGCCCCTGCCCGCCAGTCACGGCCTGCAAAGACCAGAGCGCGTCTTTTGGCAGCAGCCCAGCCTGCGGGGCCTCTGAGCCACAGACCAGCGCTGGCTCCTGCTGCCACCTGCTGGCCGCACAGACAAACGACGCCACACGACCTTCGCCGGTCCAGGCTTACCTGTTTGAAGAGCTTGTCCCAGGGGTCGCCGAAGTTACCCTTGTAGTCTTTGAGCTCTTCCTCGTCTTCCTCGCTCACCACAGACACAGGCACCACCCCGGCAGGGGCATTGAGGAGATTGTAGAAGGCAGTGTAGCTCAGAGCGCCTGCCGGGGGGAAAAAAAAAACCCAACATTTTCAGACCAGCAGGCAGAGAGACGCGTCAGCTAGCTAACACCGAGGTACATCAGCACAAAGCAGGGGCTCAAAAGAGCACCACTACAAGGGCCGCGACACAGCAGCACACTGAAAAAGACAGCGGGCAGAAGAACCTCTTTCTTCCGGAGGAGAAAGGGCCTGCTACTCACATTACGAGGGTACTGAAAAAAAGTTAAAAATGTGTTAAAATGGGAGGTTTATGCTGAAATGATTACAACTCTACCCAGGCCCATGTATTAACTTTCTGAGAAGGATGATGTAACTCATACTACTCACATCTTGGGTTTGGGGATCAGAATCAAGAGGGACTGAGGAGAGAAGAAAGCGAGCAGAGTGAGGTGTGTGTGTGTGTGTGTGTGTGTGTGTGTGTGTGTGTGTGTGTCTGCTCCTTGCGCTGTGGGACCTCAAGACGAGAAATAGCACAACTCCCCCTGGCTACCGCCCGCGCAATGTACACACGCACGGCGCGACCGCTACTCGGATACGGAACAGTACTGGTCAGCTTTCCGCAGTATCCCAAGTTGTACGCAGGACCCAGGACGGGACACAGGAGCACGTCCAGATCGCGTTTCCTCCACTCGGCGATGAACTCCTGGTGGTAGTCCTGCAGGACAGGGATGAAGCAAGCCAGCAGGTTCGGACCCTCAGCGAGACACGGCCGGCAGCCGCAAGCACTCCGTGTTCAGGGGTCTCCTGCGAGTTCCTCTGCCTATTCCTGTCTCCTGCAGTATCGGGTTAGCTAAACGAACGGAGTCCCGTTTCCCAGCCTTCCTGACACCAGCTGGGTAAGCTGTTCGCAGGCAACAAACAAACATAAAAAATATCGACAACATGGTGCGGAAACGCTACCTTTTCTTCCAAGGGGAAAAAAATCATATCAAGACCTGCAAGGCTATAGTTGAATTAAATGAAATGACCCAGCTGGCAGAAGTCTTTGCTCTGAGGCCCGGCACGGCCCTGCAGACTTGCCATCGCCAACCCCTGGTCTACCCGGGGATCCCGCGTTCGGGAATCTGTTTGGGAATCCCACGCTCCTTCTACGGAGAGAGGAGGACCGGCTTCAACCCGTTATGGGGCGCGGCCATTCCGCACCAGCAGCCCCAGCGCACAGCCTGGCAGGGGTGGGAGCGAGAGACAGCACCACCAGCTGGGTGAAGAAGGAACCTCCAGGAGTTTAGCCAAGTTTCCAGGATTCACGCACCCACTCCTACAATGAGTGTCGCGGGATCTTTAATAACCAAGCGGTGAGGGTCTTGGTTTAACATCTCATCTTGAGGACAGCACCTCCTGCACTACAGGGTCTCCCCGGGTTTCCCTATTGGGGCATCGGCCTGGAAATTCCAGATGGAAGAGCGCCACCTACTGGTCCACCAACACACCTTATAGCAGCCACCCTGGTTTTCCTGTGAGGTCTCCCACCCCTGTACTGACCAGGCCCAAACAATGCTTAGGAGACAGAGATCTGCCTGCAGATCAGGCAATAAGCTGCTTCTGGAAATACGTACAGTAACTGCACGGATGTGTTTATTTTCAGACAAAGGCTGAGAAAACCTTGGGCCGAGCTGTAAGTGTAAAAAGTGTAGGAGCTTACCTGCACAGCTTTGTGCTGCTTCCAGAGCTCTGGGATAGATCTGGAACAGTACAATAGAAACTTGATCCTCATCTACATGGTGCTCAAATGCCAAGAGATTAGCTTAACACTTAACGTAAACCTTTGTTGTTGGGGGGAAAAAAAACTGAAAACCATCCAATTAAAAACAGGCGAACTGCAGAACTGCCATACAAGTTAAACGAGCTTTGGGATTAGTGCGCTGCTTCACCTGTGGACTGTGACGGAGATCTAAATGAGGTGAAACGCCCAGTGCATGTTCTGTTCTGTGAAAAGTAGCTGCCTTGTTTCAGAATTGGGAGAGTTCTAGTTTTTTTTTTTAACTAGAAAACAGACTAGGCAAAAAGAACCTGGGCACCCTTACCTGCATCCATTAAGCGCAAGGAATGAAGCGGCCATACGAGGGTACTGAAAAAAAAATTAAAAATGTGTTAAAATGGGAGGTCTATGCTGAAATGATTACAACTGTACCCGGGCCCATGTATTAACTTTCTGAGAAGAATGATGTAACTCATACTTTAAACTCGCTACTCAGAAAGCTAATGCAACAGGAATTTTTTTTTTTTACAGAAGAGCTGAAAAACATTTGCAACCTATTGCAACACTGCTGGTTCAAAACTTCTCATTTTTACCTAACTGAATTTGAACTCCTGCAGTAAGCGATTCTTTTTGAACAACGCGTGCCAAACACGGATGCTTGAAAACACTGGAATACATATCCAGAATCTCGGAGGCGTTCTGACCAAATCCACGCAGAAGAATTCAAAATGACGAAGGTGCAACTGGTGGCGCAACCTTCTGGTTCAACTTTTCCGGCGCAGTGTGCCAGTATTCATTTTCCTACTTTCCACCTAACTAGAACACATGACGCCAGGGCAGGGTTCACACTACTCACCAGGGGCTTGAGCAGGACAGCCAGGATTCTCTTCAGCAGCCGGGGCATTCGGTAAACTGTGGTCTGCGGGCTGAGAGTGGGGTCGATGCAGCCGCCTTTCCTGTACAGACACAATCGAGGCGTGCTGCGAATCTTCACAAGACTCCGACCCGATTCATAAAATCACCCAGCGTCGCAAACGCTTCGCTCCCTGATGAGCGCCATCCGTGTGTTTGCAGCCACCGCTGCAGCGGTCTGGCAACAGGAACAACGGGTCGGACGCGTTTGCCCCCTGGCGGCCGCTCCCCGGCCCACTGGAGCGCGGCCTGCGGGGGTACGGTCACTTACAGGTTGTCGAGCAGCGTGGTGCCTCCGTCCGCCAGAAGCCCCTTCAACCCCAGTTCCATCAGGACAGAATCCAGACGGGGAGGCAGGAAAGGAACTAACTGGAAGAGGAGACGGCACAGCTTCAGCCTTCTGCGAGGAGCGGCTCAAGACCGCAGCAAGCGCAACCCCCGGCTCTTGAGGGAGCCTTCTTTCAGCCCGAGACACCACAAAGGACCTCCATAAATGCGGAAGCCAAAAAGGAGAAAAGAAAACTGGAAAGTAAAAACAAAAAGCTCTCTTACAAACACCGCTTCCATTTCTTTTAAGCGGAGTTAAATGCTTTCCTGGGCGGCTAAATGAACATGTCAACTCTCAGGGCTAACACAGAGGAGGAGCCAGTTCAAACGAGATCTTTTCATTTATTTTAGCGCTACCGATTTATAACCTCGGTATAAAAAGCCAACGCAAAATCACCAACGATTGAGTGTAAGTTGTCTGGCCCGACGCACTGACACTGGTGCTGGCTTGTGGGTGTAGAGTCTCGACTCACGGTGTGGCCGGCTTCCTCCAGCAGCACCTTGGTCTCCCTGAGGGCTCTGCTCATGCTGGGGGAAGGCATGAGATTACCATCGTTCTCATAGTAGCCAACCCGCAGGGGCCTGGAGCTCGCGTACACCTGGAAAAAGACACGCAGGTCAGGAGGGAAAGAAAGCAGACAGGCCCTTATCTGCCAAAGGAACCGGAACTTCTCTCACGATGAGAACTGTAAATATGATTAAAATGATTTCCACAAAATTCCATTAACCAGCAGCACAGTCTTTAAACACTGTTGGAAGTACTGCACACATTCTTCACTGTGCAGAAATGTTAGAACAGGCAGAGATCAAGCACTCTTTAGTGACAACAAGTTAAAAAAACTTTTTTTTTTAAAAAGATAAAAGCTAATTCATCACAGATCAGGAAAAAAAGCCTGACAAGCAACAATTCACGAACAACGGCTATTATATTCCTGCAATTCAATCTGACACACACGGATTTCTTCCTGTAACACGCAGGGAATTAACTAGCTTGTCTGAATGCCCCATTTTAAAATAAAACTGGAATTGAGGAATCGCTGTATTACGGAGGTGTGGCAGTGAAATGGCACACAACATAACTCCCTTCTGAATCAGCCACGTCAGCACTACATGGCCAGGTGTACCACAGCAGGTGCCTCAGCTGCCCTCACCTGCTCGTCGAAGGGCAGCGGTGGGACAGTGGGGTCCAGGGCGAACATGTGGTCACACAGCAAGGCCCTCATGCACAGCGCCAGGCTGTCCGTGTCCCGGGCCATCGGGCCCACTGATGACAGGACTGGAACACAGAGACCCCCGGCACGTCACATGCACAGAACACATGGCTGAAGCACACCTGAACAAGAGCTACCTTCATCATCATCCTCATCCTCCCGGCACCAGGCTGGCCACAGAGCAGAATGTTACTTGGGTGATAACAGGTCAAATCCGTGCAGGTGTAAGAACACACAAAAAAATAACAGCTATAAACAATGCAAATAAAACGATTGGTCACCAGGTGTCTGGTCATTAGCCTTCCTCTCATACGCATGCCCTCACTCCTCTTCTTCATGTACAGGTCTTACCCTTGCTTTTTTATTGCCAACTGTTCGACAGCGACTTTGACCAACTCAACCTGACGTTTCCTGCAGTCGGCCTGACGAAACTACACTGTGGGCGACGGACTGATAAAATATCAGAGGATTTGCATCAGGGCAGAGCAGAGGCCCGGGGCAGTTTTTCCCCATTCAGTGCAAAAATCCTCGCTAGTCCTTAGTCAGGCGCGTTCAACAAAGCAGCAGCAATTCGTTAAAGACACGATAGCTGGGGAGGTGGCCCAGCAGTTAACTTTACTGCCTCACAGCTCGCAGGTCCCGAGCTCGATGCTATACTACGATCCTTCTGTGTGGAGTCTGCATGTTCTCTCCAGGTGCTTGCGGCCTTCCCTGGTTTTGGTTTTCTCCTACCTGCTGGGCAGACTAACTGGCATCCCTAAAGGGTCCGAAGTGACCTCTGGGACAGGCCCCATGCTCGTCTCGACCCTTACCAGGAATAACCAAATTTCTGATGAAAAGAGGGAAGGCAGCACACTGGTCTCCCAGAACTGTGGGAGTCTCGACTCTTCCTCCAGGACCATCTCACCTGACTTCTGTCCATAGCAGCAGCTGGCGAGACCTCGCGCGCTGGAACACAAACAGCCACACCCGTCACTTAATCACTAGATCGCAGACGTGCTGCCGTTTCGCTCACCTGAAAGGTAAGGTCCTGGTTTATCTCTACACGAGATAAACTGATCGCTTGCTAGATCTATAGGCCTTGATGCAAGAAAGCAGGTTGTAAATCATTTCTGGAAGCAAAAATGAGCTCTGGGAGTCCCCCAGTATATTACTCCGGCCTGTTTGGTAGATCTAGCAGTACTGGATGGGCCACATGGTCCCGCTCTCACTTGTAACCTCTAATACTCCTATCTCACCTGATCACGGAAAGCAGAGCGAGGCACAGGCAAATTTGAATACTCTCCAAAAATACCTTTTGTCCACGGTGGAACTCAGTTTTTAAAGCTTGCCCACGTTCCGAAGTACCTGCTTTACGTTCAAAATCAGACTCTCCGCTGGACGAAGGGGAGACGGCGGTGGGGCAGGGACCCCCTACCTGAGCCGGCCAGAGGTGGGTTTGAAGCCGCAGATGCCACAGAAGGATGATGGGATGCGAATACTCCCCCCGATGTCCGTCCCCAGGCCCAGGATGGAGCCCCCGGCGCCGATCAGCGCCCCCTCTCCCCCCGAAGATCCCCCGGGGGTCTTGTGCAGGTTACAGGGGTTCAGGGTCTGCTCAAATATGGGATTGCTGCAGTCATAGCTAAACAACAACAAAACAGGGAGGTCAAAGGCAGGAACTTGCAGGTTGTGCGTCACAAGGTATTAATAAAGGTGAAATAAGTTCTGATTCAATGTGTCTTGATATTACACTGTTAGGCCACAAAATGTGTTACTTGGGTCAGGCTGTGTGGACTTTTCTATAGGCACTGTATATAGAATTTGCATGATTAGTGTAATGAATGAAGCTACTTTGACTCGGAGAGCTATGCGATGAGGCAAAGCTATGCAGCAGTAATAAATCTGAACGTTTTTTTTTTTTTAATCAAAACAGGTGTGTAGCAGTGGCTGTTACACACCACACTGTCCAGAGCCTCTGTGCAAGAAAAACCTCAGCTTTTAACCTCAATATGAAGACCTGAGCGGACGTCACTTACTTCAGCAGCCCCTGGGGCACGTTGGTTTTCACGAAGGGAATGGCCCCCTGCTTCTTCAACACCTGCACCACCACGCTGTCCTGCACCTCGGGGTGCTCCAGCTTCTGCACGGTCCCACACGTGGAGTCGTGGCCCTGGAGGAGGGCCAGAGGGGTTACAGGCCCGAGAAGAGGAGGGCATTCAGCCCATCAGACTGGCGGTTTCACGAAGAGAGATAATAATAATTGCTTAGACTCATAGCGCTATTGTGGACACTCCAGTCAAAGTGCTTTACAGGTCATGGGGATCCCCTCCACCACCACCAGTGTGCAGCCCCACCTGGATGATGAGACGACAGCCAGAGTGCACCAGTACACTCCCCACACACCAGTGGGGAGGAGAACAGAGTGATAAAGCCAGTTCGGAGATGGGGATTATTAGGAGGCCACGACTGATAAGGGCTACGGGGGCAACATGCCCTGGGATTTTTAATGATCTCGGAGAGTCAGGACCTCGGTTTTACGTCTCATCCGAAGGAAGGCGCCATTTTACAGTCTAGTGTCCCCATTGCTATACTGGGGCATTAGGTCCCACACAGGCTGCAGGTTGAGCGCCCCCTACTGGGCCCCACTGACACCACTTCCAGCAGCAGCCTTAGCTTTCTCAGGAGGTACTGTCCAGGCTCACACCTGCTGGGCTTCAGTGGGCTGCCAGTGGTGAGATACAGGGTGATATAGCTGCTGACTATACTATAGCTCACCATAGCTGAGTGAGATTACCCAGCTAGATTTTTCGGTTTCGGTTTCATGAAGCAGAACAGAATGGTATCCAGTTAAGTAACTTTACTCTTAACCTGCGCCAGGGCAGGTGAAGTCAGACTTAACCTGACTTCGAGGGTAAGAGCTCAACTCTTTACAGAGAGAACGAAAGTTTCAATATTGCCCTTTACAGTTCAGTGATCATTTTTGCTTGAAAGATACCCTTTCAGTAGGGTGTACTTCACATTCACAATCTCTTAAGCTGTGCGATCTCCTTGCCTAATGAACTGCAACGTGAACACACAGTTAGTCAGATAGTTTAATTCTGAGTTACTGTAACCAGATAACCTGAAACGGAGTTTGCCTTCCTGAAACCGAGTTAACCCGAACTCAGTTATTGGGTTAATTCTATCTGGACAACTTGAGAAAATCCTGAATAAGTTGAACCTGCTCCGTGAAACAGTGACCTGTCTTCTTTTTGACACACCTAGCGTGCTGGGAGTGTCCCAGTGAGCCCAGTGCCCGCATATGAGCATACCAAGCCCTCCTGTGCACGGATTGCAAGCACCCTGCCACCTGCAAACGGAACTGCTAAGGACAGGTCTTTCGAGTTTTAAATTGACTTTTTTATAATACCAAACTGGGACAAGTGCCAAGCCGCAGGTGACAACATGGAGCACACCTGAGTGTGAGTGAAACCCCCTAAATGTAAGGGTGGTCCCCTATTGGAGGGGTCTGCATTGGAGGGGTCTGCACAGCCCACCATTCAATCCTACGTCAGAGCTTTTCACTGGCACAGTCACCTTAACCCCTCCTCCATTCTTCAAACAGTCCCAGGAAACGCCTGTAATACACGAGACACAGATCTGTCCCTCATGAACTCAGACACACCCTGGTGCTCTTAACTTAGCCTGACTAATCATTTATGAATAAGCTACACAGAACCCTGGATTTTTCTTTCAATAAATCACCACAAATCTTTCATCTCACTCCTCGCAAGTTCTTGGTTCATACTCTCACTCCAATTAGATCCTCTCCAACACGGAGAGTGAAAGCCTGCTGCAGGTGGTAATGCACAGGAGCTCAAAGAGTACTCCGGCGCTCCCTAGACTCACTACCTTCATTTCTGAGCCCTCACTCTCTTGTACTCCTGCAAGAGCCTGGGCACAGACTCCCAACCTGCCTCCTCCCGGCTGCTCTTATACACCAGATCTTCAATCTGTGGGAGTGGCAATTGCCCACAGAACTAATCACACGTGCTCTTTTCCCACCAGTGGAACTTAAGATAAGAGCACTTAATTGGCCATATTCAATCTCTTGTATTAGGAATTAGTCTTTTCGAATACCCCAGCTTGCTCTCCATGAGACACACAGGCACACAGACAGGGAGAGAGAAGCTGGGGGTCAGAGCGCACGGTCAGCTACTTATACGGCGCCCCTGGAGCAGCTGGGGTGCAGGGCCTTGCTCAGGGGCCCAACGGAGTAGGATTCCTCTGCCGGCCACGGGATATAAACCGGCAACCTTCCAGCCACAGGCGCAGATCCTGAGCCAGAGCCACCACACCTGTGGCTGGAAGGTTGCCAGTTCGCCCAATTTCCTTCACACTGAATGCCAATAAATCAGTTAAGACATGTGTGTTGAAGTGGAAATCTAATAAGTAAATTGATTCTTAAAAATGTAGAGAGCTTTGAAAAAAATATATTGGTGCTTTTAGATAATATATTTCAAGGATGTAACTGCTGTGCTACAGTGCGTGCAGAATTTTAGAAAACAGTTCGTCAACAAAGTACACTGTTTAGGTTAGTTTAGAAGACAATGTACCAAAACAATATATGCTGTCTGGGTCATTAGAATTAGCTGAAAGTAACTGAGAAGCTTTGAATAACAAATCTAGTTTTTCTTCTCTCGCTCTATGATGTAATCTGTTTTCTCTTAGAGAAAGTGGAAGTTTTAGAAGGGACCAAATGCTGAACTTTTTTACAGCGCAACGTCTTATAAAAACCCTGTACTGCTTGTAACAAATTGAGTCTCTGGTTGCACTTTGCGAAGTGGCGGCAGGGCTCCCAATATTGCAATATTGAAATAAAGACCTTACTCAGGTGAGAACTCTCTCTTGTGGCTTCCTTGATAGTTATATTTCCATGACCGTGTTCACACCATTAGGTAGCTTTGCATAACACCACCCATAAAAGTTTGCTGTTAACTTCTCATGGTGCAAAACTTGATGTACTACACCACCCAATACTCCAATATGACCTCTTCGATTTCTGAAATATTCCTGCTCACTTCAAAGCCTACTGATTCATCCAGGAGTCAGTAATACTAAATAATACCGATAGTATTATTGACAGCATGATTAGTGCCATTTTGTGATGAGGGAGCCAAACTGAGAAATGATTCTTAAGAGGAATCGCTCAAAGCTACAAAATCTTTCTGCAATATTCATTTCTCTAGTAACTGACAATAATCTCATGGACTGGAGAAGGGCAGACGTAAAGGTGGTGCTAAAGGAAATTTTCCCCATGTGTGTCAGCCTAAACACGAGTCACACGCCCCTGATCAGGTTCTACATGAACATGCAGAGGGCAGGAGTTTCAAACGCCTTCAAAAGTGTGTTCTGACAAGTCCAGAAACTCACTGGGTTGACTTTGTCAATCCCTGCCAAAATCATTCCAGCGGAATAAACGGTGAAATACTAACCAAGTGGAAGTGAAAACTGGGAACAGCATGCAGTTCTTTACCCAAAGGATTGTGGGGGCATGGAACAAGTTTCGCAGCCACGTTGGAGAATCCAAAACCCTGGCTTCTTTCAAGAAACCTCTGGATGAGATACTGGAACCGATGAGCTACTGTACCAGCTGCCGATCGGGCAGGAAGAGCTTCCTCTCGTCGGCAACCGCGCGAGGTCTCGGGCAACACGTACCTTGATCCCGACGTTATCTTTGATACTGACGGGAACCCCGTAGAGCAGGCCGTCCCTGTGCTGCTCCGTCTGGGCCAGCTGCTCTCGACTCTCCGGCAGGATGGCAGTAGCACAGTTCACCGTCCTGGTCACCTGCAGAGCCTGAGGGAACACGTCACCGCCTTGCGGGAAGAGCAAACATCTCTCCGTCTCATTCACCACCACGCCGATTTGGATTCGACTAGGATCAGCATCATTTCAGCAAACAAATAGGACATAAAAGGGACTAAAAAGCGCAACAGCTTTACACCGAATATTCATGGAGCAGATGTATAGTAACTTTGCCAGGCTAATTCTCCTGGCTGTCACGGCAAAAGAAAGCGTTGTAATGACTCAAGGCGACGCACATCGCTGGGGTATTTAGAATGACCCCATGGGGTAGATGAAGAGGACACCGCTGCCAGCAGCCTGCGTGAGCTCACCTTTTCCGTGTAGGTGTACAGCACGGCCTCGGGGCTCAGCTCTTTCTCCCTCAGCCTCCTGCGCAGCTCCTCCAGAGGCAGGGACAGGATGACAGCACTCTCAGTCCCGGGGTGCTGCAAAGAACCGGCAGCACTGAGCAGCTTCACAGCCCCGCTCCGCCTCCCAGCTCCCAGACAGTGCCTCTGCGAGAGCCTCATGCGAACTAGTTCCGACTTTAACGGAGAAACGAAGAGTCTGCTCGACTCTGCTTTGCAAAAAGACATTCATTCAGAAGCAGAGGCAGGAGAGCCGGCAGTAACCCCCCATTTTAAAATACTTCCCATGCCTTTCTTCAGCAAGAAAAACAAGGACGTGCTATTATGAGCGGACTTTCTTATCCAGGTCGATTTGCAAAGTACACTGCAAAACATGAAGTCAATGTATTAACTGAAGAAGACTTAGCGCTCCTCTTTCGTAGTACTTCCCCACCCCATTGCTTTTCGTGTTTCCAGAACGAGGTGTGTGTAGTTACTGTGGGGACACACACCGTCCACACGAGTCCAGCGCGTCACTCGGGCCTCAGAGACACGCGGGCAGGATGTTCCTTCCCGTGCCCCCGCCTGTTTATAATCAGGAATCCGAGGAAATATCTGCTCCCTGACAACCGTTGCACATCAGCAACTCCCTTGATACGGGCTCTAAATGAATGTGGAATAATACTGTGTAGACGAACTCGACAGCAAAGCGCAGAGTTAAATACCTTCGATATCGCAGCGCATGTTTAATTCGTGTTACAATTCTTCGCAATGCGATCAGAAGGTTATTTCACATTCTTAAAAGGCTAACAACTTTCAGACTAAACACTGTACAGCAGTGTACCTCCCTGTACAGCACCTGATCGTGGTTCTATTTTATAGGCAGTAAGCCGGTACTGAATTACAGACGAGCATGAGCGTTTTGCCCTGTTCAATGTCCAGATCGACTGCAATTACACTTTGGTCATGTCAGCAGTAAATGTTGCGAGAGATTCCTGTTCCGCGGGCTGTTCTCTTGCGCTTGCGATATTATATTACATACAAGCCTCGTTTGGCTCGCCGGCTAACTTTCTTCCCCCTACGCGCAGACAGTAAACTTGTTGATTTTCAGCTGCGGTGGAAACTGCACGCTAGCTTTTCGACGCGTGGATCACATCCCGAGTTCCGTTTCTCGCACAAACCCGGCACGCTCCACAAAAACAACCACCCCCCCCCCCAAAAAAAAAAGAGTGGGGGCATTGCGTTTCCCAAACCTCTTTTTTAAACTGCTCCACCGCTTCTTCGGCACTCTTCAGTGACCTGTCCCTCCTTGCTCTGGCGTTTGCGATCAGCTCCCTCTCGCCGCGGTGCCACCTGCGCTTCAGCAGCAGAAGGACCGCGCCGGCCCCGCAAGCCGCGGACAGGAGCGCAACTCTCCTGCCCGGCTGGGCGCCGGACAGCAGATGATTGCAACCCAGCCTCTCCATCACGCACAGCTGAACTGCAGCCCCAGGTGAGAGCGCAGCCCGCACCGTGTCAGCGCAGCGCGAACCACTGTAGCGCAGGACGTAGGGGTGCCGACCGGAGGGGGATGACACAGCGCCCTACCGGATGCGAAACACAAAATGTGGAGTGGATTCCCCGTTTGGGCATTTCTGCCAACGCGGGTCTGTCCCTGCAGAATGACGAAAGAGACCCAATCCCGTAGCCTTTCCAGTGCCCTGCAGGTAGAGGTCTCTTCTCCCAGGCTGCAGTTTGTTTTATATGGAGCGCAATGCTGAAACCGGCGAGAAGGCGTCATCTTTCTTCACTGGTCAGCTGGTATCAGTCATTTAACACTGCTCCGAGAACACCGGCAGGCATTTGAATCATTTAAATGCATTTCGCTGACGTTCGTCTCAAACAGGGTGTTTACTGGCCACCAGACTTGTTTTAAAAAAAAAAATAGTTTGAGGTATCTTTATCATTCCTCTTGCTTGATTTTAATTTTAAATGGGGTTTTAATTTACTGTACTTGCCTGTAGAAAGCACTCAACGATCAGGTTCCTGAAGTGAGCAGGAAAGCAGACCTTTATGCGTGCATACAGGAGCATACAGCAACTGTCTCCCTTTTTATACAGTGAGAGTCACACGAATTCAGTCGTATAAGAGGAAGCCAAAACAAAAGCAGATATTCCAGCAGAAAAAAAAATTACAAGATATTTTCTTAGGTAGTTTCAATTGTTTGCATACCAAGACAACATTTAGTTTCAAAACAGAACGTCTGTTACCCGATGAAAGAGTCATGAGCAATTGCAGCCAACAGTTAGCTACTCACCAAGGCTAAGGATAATTATGAGAACAAGGCCCGCTGTTCTTTTCTCAGAGCACACAATTCTTAAACCTTTGGATTTCTTCATGCCTTTAAGAACAAGAACGATTCTACAGTCTTTGCTGAACAGGGCTGTTGGTGTTACTGAAACTGCTTGGTCGTGATCTAAAGGGGTTTGTACAAAATAGATCATTGTTCTTCCTCTCTAAGGCTGGTCACATCTGGTGCTGCAGTTAGGTCCCGTTAGCAGGCCAAGGTCTGAAGCTGAAATTCTTTTTCATGCGGTTGTTTTTTACGTTTTAACAGCTGCTTAGACCTGAACTAAAACTACATTTAATTAGCATAATATCTCCTTTTCTGCCCTCCTCGCAGTGGTTCCCTGTGGATTCCATAATTACATTTTAAATACTGCTGCCTGCCTTTAAGGACTTGAATAGTTCAGTTCGCTCTGACATCAGTGAACTTCTAACCCCCTTAAACAGCTACAGCTTGCTTGCATTGTGTGAGCTTGTGCCTTCTGTCACCGTCTAGAACGAGAGTCTTCAGTTCTGGGAACCCCTGCTGTCGGTGGTGTTGCTCCAGGACTGGTGAATGATCTCCTAGACTGCAGTAGATCAGGCATATCAGATAGCAACTTTAAGTCTGGTCTTTAACCCTACAATAATACAATGAATAGGATTAAATTCTCGTGTATTTTTTTTCTTTGTTGCTTTGCCTTTGGCTTGTCTTATTGAAAAAGCACCTTGGGGTGAAAGGCACTCTACAAAATACAAAGAAGCAGTAGTGCAGCATGTCAATCTGTGGAAGGGAGAGCCTGTTCCTCTCCACATCTCCACACAGTAGACCAGGGTTAAACAAAGTTAATCATTCTTCAGCCAAGGCTAAAGCGGAACACTTATCTGCAGTGTTTTTCACCAAGCTGTCCTCTCTACAATTGAAAATGGTAAAATCACATTTCTCTTAAAAATTAAAATACAAAAACAACAACGTCCAGAATAGCACAGCTAAGCACACCATAGCCACACCCATGAAAAACACATCTGTAGGAAAATCAGATATTCTGCCTCCATGAGGGATATAACCTCACCTGAGAGCAAAAGCACCAGAGGGAAACCAGTGAACACTATGATCTGCCAAAGCTAATAAAAAGAAATCGAATGTGGTTCAAATAAAAAGTGATTAAATCAAGGTGACCTTTGAGTTCACTGACCTACGGTATTAATGTAGGCCTACATCTTAAACTCTTGTGGGACAATAAAGGAGCTAAGAGTCTTCTCCAGCAGCAGGTGTAAATGCAGTACATAAAGAGTCATACTTGCACCAGTTTATTGATCATCTTCTGCGTCAACACAGTGCGCCTACTTTAATGAGCCCATACAGAGTTCAATGTGTGCAACGCAATTCACTGTGCGCTTCATATTAAAAAGCTCATGCGGTATCCTTTATTTGAGCATCCCGTTTAAAGCCCAGTGTGAATCAAGAATTATGTGGGGAACCACTGAATATGATGTATTAAGACTGAAAAAACGCTGTGAAACACAACTGTAAAGAATGCACTCAATGTTCTGATATATTTTAATACCTTTTTTTTTGCTTGACATTTTGCCTAGTAGATTGCGTATGATACTGAACGCAAAAAATTGCTGTGTGTTGCAGCACAAAACACTCCAAAGTGAGCATAAATGTCAAGGAGTACAATAGCATTAACAGAACACAGCAATTATGTCAGGTCATAACACCTGGGAGTGACAGTTATGGACACATAAAACAATAAACGTTCAGCGGCAGACAGGTGGGGAAATTTGAGACTAGCTCCAGAGCCCTCAGAATGTCAGGAACTTGACAGACAGAAAATGTTATGCCACACAGAGAACTAAAAAAAGTGCTATTGCCATTACTGCATTTTTCACCTATAGACAGAATATCGAATTGTATCCCTCCCTCCATTATTTTGAAAGCTTCTGCAGCCAGTCAGGGCCTGTCCCAGAAGCACAGGACGAATGACAGGACACCAGTCCGTCACAGGGTGCAAACACAGTTGCACTGGGACAGTTTCAAGACACCAGTTAACCTGGCCGGCATGGAACACCTGGAAAAAATCCAGACTCCTCACAGAAGGCAAACGAACCCAGGATCATTCCCAGGAAGCAAGAGAAGAGAGACCACATCATTTAGGGCTGGTGATCTGTTCATCCGAGTCACGCTCCAAAAATCATTTTCAGGCACAGTACCACGCAATTGTCCACCTCTACAAATACAGATTTACATTTCAGGGATATGTGTGTGTATATAAAAATACTGTCTATTTTTCCTGATGTCTGGAAGAGACAAAGATCAGAAGGCACCTGCTTTGCGGGGGCTAACTTGACCTTACTGATGACAAGTCCAGATGGCACCCAGAATACCTCTGCTTTGGACAGCCCATCTGCAGTTGAAGCCACCACTGACTTCAGCAGACACACATTTTAAAGTCCAGCTGTTCCAACATGAGATGAAAGGAGCAGAGACATTGACTCTTTTACAGACTGGTCAGGCAGCCACCTAGAATGTCAGGTTCAGGTCTGCCATTATGCACTAATAACAGCAGGTACCTGTTGAACCTGTTCACGCCTATGGTTTATAAATGGCAAAAGCATGCAGAGGTAGTAAAAAAACGATGGAAGATCACAGTAAAGCATGCCAATTCACAGTGTAAGGAGCCTAGAAAAAAAGGGCAAACCTTTGTCCAAACTCAGCACGGTAAACCCTGACTACTATCAACCACAAGTCCAACATATTTTTAAAACATCTGCAAAAAATGACAGCGTCTAGGGGCTGGTCTCTCTAGCAAGAGTTTGTACTCTTCCACAAGAAAACAAGAACACTTTCTACAGGAAGAGTCTGTAGGAAAAGAGCTTGTATCTTCACTAGCATCAACCAGTCCTACCAAACAACAGACAGAAAAATCAAAATCAGCTTGTTTTTGTCTGATTCAATATTTATAATAAGTTTTTAATGATGCATGACCAGTCTTTTTGATTGAATACAATTCATTACTGGAGGAGCTGGAATACTTGAACACATTTATTTTATTCCAACAGTTAGAAGCGCCCTGCGGAGACGACTACAGACTGACGATCACAGGTAAGCCCCTGTTGTCCAGCTGCAGCCTGTCCCCCGCCAAGGCCGTGCTGACCCTCACAGTGAGTCCGGCTGGGAGAAGGCGTGCCCGGAGCAGCTCCGGCCTCTAGCCGACACGCTGCAGCCTGCACAGGTAGATGGGGCCGAAGTTGGCTGCGAGGTGGGGCAGGACCAGCTCGCCCAGGCGCAGACCCTGGGCGAAGTGGAAAACGTCCCGGAAAAGGCCGGCCAGGGGCGCCAGGTCCACGACGCGGACGCTTATCCCCAGCTCCTCCTGGGCCAGCTGGGCCGCTCTCTCCACCACGCACTCGTTCTGCAGCGGCGACAGCGTGCAGGTCGAGTACAGGACCTCCCCTCCCGGCCGCGCGGCCCGAATCCCTGCCCTGAGAGAAGGCAGCCGTCAGCAGCACCGCCGGGGGCCGGAGGCCGGAGCCGGTCTCTTCCGCGCCCTCCGCGGGGTCAAGGCGGGAGAAGGACAACGACTGCCTGGCGAGCCACAGCGCTCGCATGCTTCACTTACCTTAAATTCAAGTTCTTGGGAGTGTAGCGCAAATCCAATGACAAAAAGCTGGTGGTCAATAAAAAGTACTGGAAAGATTTTAGGAAACAGCGGCCTGTTTCCTGAAAAGTATAACAATAACAGGAGTATTTCGAAAGAAAACTTGGCTGTCTGGAGATTTTGAGGGGTAAAAATGTTTTGACAACCCGAATCCGCAAAATGTTTAGTGGAGAGAAAAGAAAGAGGCACTAGAGTGTGTAAGTGTCTCACTTACAGCAGGAGTTCTGTCTGGAGCTGTGGCAGTCTCTGTCTCTCCTTGGTCCTGGACTTCTTGAAGATGTTATTGTCCTCCTCCAGCAAAGAGTGTCTGTCTGTTGTGCAGGGCACATCCACAAGGACCTGGGCAGCCACAACACAGAGAGTCACTACAAGGTCTCTACCAGCTTCACAGGGAAGCACATCTTCTCTAATGACAGTGAAGGAAAGACACCATTACATTTACTTTTGCCAAAAGCAGACTTGTCGATTATGTACCACGAGATCTAAATAAGTGCTGCGTGTCATAAGGCCCCAGATCAGGGCAGTCTGATCTTATTACTCACCCTGTCAAAAGTCTCTCTCTCGAGCTCACCCCACTTCCTGCCATCGAAGGAAGTGATGCGCACCTTGTCTTCGGAGCAGTGCACCCTGGGAATGTAACTCTGCAGGACCCCTCGGAGGCGAGCAGTGCGGGACCCCGAGGCGTCGTTGGCTGCCAGACGCCCTGTGAACACACACACGACAGCACGTGTCCGTGTTTCATCACGGCTGGGCTAAAACGACACCATCAATCACTCACACTGATATATTCCCTGAAGGTTCCTTCAACGTGCATTTAGTTTCCCACATAAAGCTTACAGAAACTAAAAGTTTTCTTGGTCTTTTATCTCCCGGACGTCATGTGTTGTATGAAGGAAAAATGATTACAGCAGGCCTGTGTCTGGAGCAGAGCCAGCGTCTTCCCCCCTGGCGCGGCGCACAGGTCCAGGACAGTGTGGCCCTCCTGCACGTCCAGAGCCAAAACGGGCAGCACCGAGGCCGCGTCCAGCAGGTAGTAGCCCAGGAAACCACTGCGGTCAGGCCTGAGAAAACACCACCGCAGTCATGTTCTGCACTAGACGTGCAACTGTACCTCCTTCAAAATAAAGACCGGTGTCAATCCAACCATCAAAATGCGGCATGTTTCACCTCCTCCTGTTTCACCTACGCCTTATGTAGCAGAGCTATGCCCTACAGTCTACAATAACTTTCTTTTTAAGTCTCCCTAGCGCTGACACTTTGAAGACTTCCTTTCTGATCCAGCTACATTTCTGGGGCAGTTTCGTGAGATAAGATGCAGTGAATGCCCCACGTTAGAGACAATCTCACCACTAACGGCTATCTACTCTGATCAGTGCTGGCGACGTAGAGCAGGCCACTGTCACCACAAGGACAAGGCTACGGTCACAGCTGGTGCATGGTTAGAGATTTCTCACCTTGCAGGCCTGAAACGCGTGATGTCACCCTTAGGGAAAACATAGCACTTGATATTTGGACTGAGACTTGGGAATCTGCCATCCTGTAGTGATCCTGAACTCTGGGGTTCACTGTCGGATTCCGGGGCTCCAGCGCACGGAGGTCCGGCGACTACCGAGGGGTCCCGACTCGTGCCTGGCCCGTCCACACCGGGCCCTGCGGCACAGTCTCTCCTGAAAGCCTCCTGCACGAAGTCGAACGCCCCCTGCTGCTCCAGTCCCGCCACCACCTCCTGCGCCGTGGAGAAGTTGTTGACAAGAGCTCCATACTTCTGCTCCGACAGCAGGCTGGCCCGAACTGGAGGCCACTGCTCTGCAAACTGGGTGCCGTACGTCATGTCAAAGATCTGCAAGGCCAGCCTGGTGGAGGAGATCTTGGGTTGAGTGGCAGCCTGTCGGGGGAATGGAGACCCTGGACTTACAGATCAGCACCGATTCCTATGACAATAACATGAAGCCAAGAATCATGCAGAACCAGATGCAAACACACGTAGAGGTCCTTATGTCATTGCTTACTGTCCGAATGACCTTAAAGCGTTTCCACAAGCGTGCTCTCATTCCAAATTTGAGAGCGGCACATTTGCAACGATGCTGCTTTTTAAATGTCACCCGTTTTCCCTATGACGACTATAGCCTGCTGGCGTTTATAACACAACATACGCCCATTCTAAGTCCTGAACGAACCTGGCGCGCATTCATGTACACTTTCTGTGGATTTTGATGTTTTTTTAAATAAAAAAAAATACTCAAATATATCGCATGCCGATACAAAAGCATTCCCTGTGTTACCGTTAATTATATGTACAGTATACGTGAGCTTACTTTAGGTGTAGAGTGAATTTTGATTTTGCTACAGTAGACAAACGGAAATCACTTGAGAATCAGGGATAGTAAACTAAAGAAATCGCCGGTCTTGGATGGAAATAGACATTGAGGCTTACAGTTATTTTTGACTGAGAAATCAATCAAATATATCATAGACATTAAATTAGTCATAGTAAACGACCATAGCTGTTCTGCCTAAATATTTTCGTTCTTTTGCGCAAATATCATTAAGATAGCAAGGGTATTTATCTGATTCATTAGAGTTTAGTAAGGGTCCAATTAAACCTGTCTGCGCTTCGTTTTGCTGAATTCGAAACAGAGAACACTTCCTATTTCAGCGGCATAAAACGACCTCTGAGGATTATATTACCCATTTCTTCTTCACTCGATTTCTGCAAGGAATAAAATGAGGCAAACCCTTCAGTTTCCGAAGCAACACTCTCGTGTCTGTGAGCGCAGCCATATTGAATGCCACAGTAAAAAAATGCCCCGGGAAACACGATCTTCCGCAACGATCGGTCCGCCGGGTTAAAGTTGAGAGTTACGAGCTTGGAAATTATTATTTTTTCTCCTCATTCACTTACTGCCTTACATATGGACACATAAAACAATATATGTCACTGAGGAGAAATGTTCAGTATACTCTGGTTAAATTCTTAATACAAGTGGTACAGTTGTAAAGGAACTCACTCCTCTATCTTATCTGCAGTGCTGGGGGTGCTTCATTCAGTGGTAGGTGAAATGTCCTTTCCTATATATATATAATACTTTGGGGTCTTTTGGAACGATAAGATCTATGCAGATGCAAATCCTTTTATTATAGATGTTTCAACAGTGTAACATTTGAGAGCTCCAGAAATCTGTCAAGTTTGAGATTCAAAAGCACTGGCCACAATAAGTCTACCAACACAAGACACACGAATCACACAAGGTGGTGCATTAATAAGCTCATAAATAATGAAATGCTCCAAGGTGTAAGATGGCATCACTCTCTTAGTCTCACTTAATTGTAATCCTTGGAAGATATCAGGTTTCTGTTGGGATGTTTTCAGAGACTTTTCCCCACTCTGAAAGCTTAGGCCTTTCAATGTCAGATAAAACTCCAGATAAAGCAACAGGATCAATGCACACAGTAATCCAGACCAGCTAAGATATCTGTCTGTAGAGTATCACCCAAAACCTTCATCGCCACCCCTGACCACCTTTCTGTACTGGTTCAAGATGCTTTCAGGAAGGCAGGACCCATGATCTCTCAGCTCTCACTTTATCTTCTGCCACCTTCATCCCATATTGCACTGACTCAAACACAACATACGTACAAGCGAGTTCGTATTACTGCTTCCTATCCACACTGTATATTTTCTTTCACATGGTTTGGTGAGCATGTGCACTGCTCTTCCTGCTTGTATTGGCCTCGTTCTAATTTGACTCACCTTATAGTTACTGTTCCTGCTGATCTCACTCCTCATTTCATTGTCCTGGATCTTAGTCACCCTGGGTATGTATCTTCTAAGCAAATAATATGCAGTGAACGTCACGTACCAAAAAAAAATCATTCAAAACTGACCTTCATAACGCAAGTAAGCGCACAGTCAGTCTTTCTGGGAAATGTTGTCTATCACATGTTTTAGACACAGGAAAGCAGATTCAGAAAGAATGTCATTTTATTCACATGTGGACACATACACAGTTAGCTGAGGTTTTCAAACATTTCCTGAAACTGCATGGGGAAGAAACGGACATCAGGAACTTTTCTGATCGGCGCCATTTTCTTATTTAAATACAGACTTCACAGCTGTATGACATCTACCACAGAAACTGGAGCTTGACGCCAGAGCTGTGCAGACTTCACTTAATCATTTTGAAGGCCTTGTGCGCCACCTACAGGGTAAAAAAACAAAATCTGTTATCAGTGCACAGAGCAGACCTTTTATTCAAACTTAAAATGTATTCAAATTTTACCACATAAAGTTCCCCTTCCAGATATGCTGGAGAATTTTTTAGGGTTCCATAAACGATAATGTTTGATGGCAACAAAAACAGAAAATCTCTCTTTACAATCAGGTAAGTAATAGTGCGATCAGAAGACAAACAAGAAACCCACTCTAGGAACAAAACAGCACTTCGGAGCTTATGTAACGATTATGGGTTGGTCTGAAACTGATGGGAACGTGTGTCAGGTGTTCTTTCCGATATCACAGCTGCACGGCTCGTTCCGTTTTCTGTACCAGTTGGAAGTATCCAGCCAGGCAAGTTCGGGAGTGAAGCCCAGCTTTCTGCGGGAATGTTTTGCTCTGATCGCTCTTATTAACGAAATCCCTGGCTGGGAAAACGCCGATCAGCGCGCGGCTCGCGCTGGCGGGCAAGCGAGCGAGCGACTCACGCAGTGGTCCCTGGCATGCAGGAAGTCGAAGAGCTCCTCCGTGCACTCCTCCAGCGTCTGCGACCGGGAGCTGACCCGCGCCTCGCAGGCCTCCAGCTTCTCCCGCGCGTGCACGCAGTGCTCCGTCTGCTCGCACTGCTCCCGGATCGCCACCAGGGGGTCCTGCAGAGACACGGGGGGGGGTCAGGGCGCCGAGCCTGCCGCAGAAGGAGACAGCCCCCCCCATCCCCAGAACCTGGCTGGACCAGGCTTGAGGCTCTGGCCATGACCCCCTCAGACTGTGCTGACGAACAGTCTTTTAAAGAGATAAACTGGTTTCGCAGAGACTCAAAAAAAAAGAGCTACGCGAATTGTAATGATTCTTCGGGAAAATCCCCCCAAATGCACACAACTCAACAAAAGAACGGTCTCAAAAGCAGAAGCCAACTACTGCTTCTGTTTCCCCCCACCCCATTTAT